ATCATTGCCTTAAAATTTCAGCCTCCTAGACTCCGAGGTTCCCGAGATATTAACTTACCGTGAATTACCCGTGAAAAACTTTCACGGGACCGTACGTGTTACCCGCGGGTAAGGGAAGGCTGATTTCGAATGGGCAAGGTTGAGCATGGGCAATGGGTCATTACTCTAAAATTTCAGCCTCCTAGACTCCGTGGTTCCCGGGATATTAACTTACCCATGAATATCTTTCACGGGGCTGTAAATGTTACCCGCGGGTACGGGGAAGCTGAATTTGAATTTGCGGGGTCACACATGGGTGGGGAACGTTACCCTAAATTTTCAGCTTCCTAGCTTTTGTGGTTTCGAGTTGAAAGTTGCAGACAAGTTGCTGCGGACACACACACACACACACACACACACACACACACACTGAGTTGAAAGTTGCGGACAAGTTGCTGCGGACGAAACGTTACCCTAAATTTCCAGCTTCCTAGCTTTTGTGGTTCCCGAGTTGAAAGTTGCGGACAAGTTGCTGCGGACACAAACGCATACAACAAACACACAACAGACAATCCCGTAACAATATGCGTTTTGTACTGCTGTTACACAGCACAAAACGCATAAAAAACAAGTGGAAGTCGATTAACAGTAAAAAGAAGCAATTGTAGACCTAAATGAATGGAAATTGTCCTGTAGATGACCATCCATAGTACTGAGCTTCTCCATTTGTAGCGCTTCTGCTTAGGTAAAGCTAAGAGCGAATATGTTCCACTGTATTTACACAAAAATTTTAGTGTGTTGCCCCCAGTAACGAAAAAGAAAGAAATCATTCTTGATGATCAGGCTTAAATAAAATGCGGCTTTTTTTACGAATTTTAAGGAAAAATATCAAGGATATCATTTCAGCAATGAGAGAAGTAGGATAGATGTATAGGGATTACTTTGGAATTGTGGTGGGAAAGAACAGAGGTGAAATTATTGCATATAGCTGCAGAGCGTTAGTAGTGCGGAAGCAGTGCAGTGAAAATATTGTGTGGAATTTTTGTGTAAATCCAATCGAACTTATTCGTTCCTTGGTGCATCTAAACATAAACGTTTTAGACAGGAAAGTCCTCTTCTGACGATGCGTTTTTATAGGGCGTTTTTTATTCACATATGCTCGGACTTCTACTTTTATTCATAGGCTTTTTTTTCTTGCCTTTGCTTTTATTCATTGATTCGGCTTTTTTTTTATTCTTTGTTTTTATGCGTTTTGTGCTATGTAACAGCAGTACAAAACGCATATTGTCACGGGGCTGTTTGTGCGTGTGTGTGTCTGAACTTTGTCCCGCACTTTCAACTCGGAAACCACAATAACTAGGCGGCTGAAATTTTAGTGTAATTTTAGTGTTACTACGTGTGACCCAGCAAATTTAAATTTGGCCTTTCTCGCGCCAGTGAGTAAAAGGTACGGCCTCGTAAAAGTTTTAGCGGCTAAAATTATTATCAGTGGAAGCACAAAAGCTAGGAAGCTGAAAATTTGGAGGAATTGTGTGGTCCTGCAAATTTAAATTCAGCCTGCTCGTACCCGCGGGTAACACGTACGACTCCGTAAAAGTTTCGGCGGGGAAAATTATTATGTTGGGGACCGCGGAAGTTCGGAATCTGAAATCTTAGGGTGATGTCCTCTACCAACATACGACCCCGCAAGTTTGAACTCAACCTTCACGCATTCCTGGGTAAGTCTCGTGAAAGTTTTGGGAGGGAAATTTTTACCTCGTGAACTAAAAAAGCTAGAAAGCTGAAATTTTGCATGGCATTTCCTGCTCAAATACAGCTCCGCAAATCTTCAACGTCCCCATGGAAGTTTTGGCGGAAAAAATCATTATCTCTGGAGTCAGAAGAGGTAGGAGGCTGAAAATTTCAGAAGATGTTTCCTGCCTAAGCAGGAGCTTCACAAACTCAAATCCAGTTCCTAAATATGCCGAGCTTTCAAATACGAATACACACAGAAGTTCTGTTGCAAAAATCACTCGAAAGCCAGAATGTTAGGAGACTGAAATTATGGATGGATATTCACCCTTCGACATTTCAAATTCAGCTTTAAGTGCCGTCGTGTGAAATTCGTGGTGGGGAATTCCGTAACTTCTGAGCTATTTTTGTACAGAGTGCAGAGCAGTGAAAATCACTAAAAGGTAATCGTTCGGTGGACGCAATTACACATACCGCATGATCGCATCAGCTGTCCTGATGCGCGCCGCTATTTATGCTAAATTTTTTTTACCCAGAGCTCCGAGTAACATTTCCCACCAATAGCAGCAGTTTTAGCGATTTGTGCACCAACCGAGGCCGAGGCCAGCTGAGCCGAGCGGAGCCAGTTATTATGCGTTTATGCCTTGTAACAGCGTTACAAAATGCATATTGTCATGGGTTTGTCTGTGTTCGTTTGTGTGTTTGTCCCACATTTTGTCCAGCACTTTCAACTCGGGAACCAAAAAAGCTGGGCGGATGAAATTTTGGTACAGTGTTCCCCGCCAACGGGTGGCGCGGCAAATTTAAATTCAGCCTTCCCGTACTCGCGGGTGACATGTACGGCCCCGTGAAAGTATTTTACGGGTAAATTGATATCTCAGGGACCACGGAGTCTAGGAGGCTAGAATTTTAGGGTAATGACCTTTTGTCCACGCCCAACCTTCCCCATTCAAGTTCAGCGTTCCCGCGCTCTCGAGTATCACCTACAGGCTAGTGAAATTTTTTACGGATAAATTATTATCTCGGGACCGAAGGGGTCTAGGAAGCTGGAAATTTAAGATAGTAGCCCCTTCCACGCTCAACCCTGCGTATTCAAATTCAGCGTTCCCTCGCTGTTGAGTATCACCTACGGCTTCGTGAGAATTTTAAACTATTAACTCGGGAATCACGGAAAGATATTCACCTTTCAAGGTTTTGGATTCAGCTTTCATGCGCTAGCGCGTGAAATTTTTAACTGTTTTCCAATTTTTGAACTATTTTTGCATAGACAAAAGTACAAAGCAGTG